CCAGGGCCCGGGGACGGTGGATGCGGCGTGGCTGGGGCGCCGTCACTGCCTCCCGTGCGGTCCTCGGGCAGCGCCCCGGGGTGCCAGGGGTCCCTTTCCAGGCTGCGCCAGCGCCGTGCACCCCATAAGCCCAGAGATGCCCCTGGGGCCCGCAGCCCTGTCATGCTTCCGGCCTCCAAAAAAGCAAGTGAAAGCCAAGAGCTGGCACTTTTCAAGGGGGCCTCAAAGGTTTCGAGGCGCTGGCGCTGGGAAGCGTATGGGCAGGTGGGGCTGGGCCATCCCTTCCCTGGAGTTGAGTTGGTGCCAACCAGCCTGGCCCTCAGATGCCGGCGCTGGAATAGCCACCAGGGCTGTGGGTAGGGGTGGCCATCATAGAGGACAGTCTGGTTATCCTCTGTTCTCTGTTGGTACAAAACCAGATGCCTTTATGTCCTCTGTTTTTTCTCTTGAAGAGAAAAAGAGAGGGCATGAAGGCGTCCGGTTCCGTATCAATAGCGGACAGAGTAGTAGAAAGCTGGAACGTCCTCTGTGACGGCCACCCCAGCTGCGGGTGAGGATGGGCAGATGGCAGCAAGGCTGTGCAGGTGTGCTGGATCGGCTGGGCGCTGCCAGAGCTATGTCAAGCCCTGTCTGGGAAAGGTAGAGGGTGTGCCAAGTCAGCTTGGGGATGCTATATGGGGAAGCTTACTTGTTGCCCACCTAACGCCATTTGGCACTAGAGAGTTGTTGGTGACATTCATTCACAAATTAAAAATAAAACAGCCTGTTGTCACAGGATCAGCTAGTTTCCATGGAGGGTACTTGGGATTTGCTGCTGACGTTTTCTGCTTCGTACGCTCCTATACTAGATCAAGGAGGAAGGCTGAGTAGGAGGCTCTCCACTTTGGACGGAGAGGATCACTTTGAAAACCTAGTTCAGAGCGTTACAACGTGGGGTCAAATTAATTCTGTCCCAACATCTCTTTGTAAATGATCCAGAAAAGCATGAAGTCTCCCAGTATTTGCTGTGTGCCTGTCACTACAGCATCTAGAAGCATGATCTAAGAGTCCAGGAGAGTTGATTGCATGTGTTCAGAAGCTATTTTTCAGTGACAGTGCTTGATGATACCGTGTTCTAATTAAGCCACAAAAGCACTTGGCCTTTTCCCTAGCTGAGCCTGACCAGAGATATCATGAAGTAACAAGGGCTTCTGCAAAGACTAGTGTTGCATTTTAAAGTTGCACAAATGTGCTTTGTCCGGATTAGCAAATTTTAAACTCGGTTATTTTGTAAACACAGATCTGCTAGAACGGATACCCCAGTGCTTTAAGAGCCACACATTTTCACAGAAGCACAAAGTGCAGTTTATTGAACCATGTTTCCTCCTCACATCATTGGATGCAAAAAGCCAGCGCTGCAGTGATGAAGGGTAGCACAAGCATAGCCTCATAATCAGGGCACATTACACTGCAGTTCTCTTTTTTAGCCATAAGCAGTGACAATTATAGCTTCCTTACTTTGTTTGCTTTTTCTGCTCAGACAGAATGGCCCCTGCCAACCAGCCGAAGGAAAAGAAGCACATGAAGGCTCATGAGCATCAGCCAGAGGAAGAGGCAAAGTCAGCTGAGAAAAGGAAACGAGAATCTGGAGAACTAGAGAATGAGCCACAAGCAAAGAGACTGTTTGTGAGAAAAGCTATGAAACCCCCAGAGAAAACAGGTAAATCTCCCTTGGGCTCTCATTTTCTTTTTTGCCCACAAGGCCTAATTTGAACAAACTATCAGCCAAATCTTCAGATAGCTGGCATAGGAAGATATCAAGGAGCCAACAACTTGTTCAGACAGGAGCATTGGGATTGGCTTATGTTTCTACATGAGGGGTGGATAATATAAATATTTTTCCCCCAGTAATCTGTTTAGAGACTGCAGTGAGCTTGCACATATAGCATTTTCTTGAAAGTCACAGCTCATCACTATAAAATGGGGCTCCAGGAAGTTTACATAGATTTAGCTTTGTGAAATTTTTGAATGGCTGAATTTTTGCTTCCTTGTAGGCAGGTAATCTTGGTAATAGTTTTTTTTCCGTGTTAATTCCTCACACTGTTTCATAACTGACAGGTTAGTAATATACACCATGCTATTTACACCAGCCTTTCCACCTGGATATCATGCTGCAGCCAACAGTAAGCCGTTTCATAGAGCTGGGTGCCAGTTCTAGCCAGGTGCTACGTTTTTCTGCCGCTGTTCTTTAAGGTCCTGTCCAGAGAAACAAGGGCTAATTCTTTTGTGTTGATATTCAGTGATCAGTCCTAGGAACCTTTGTAGACTTGCATTAAGGACTCTGTGTCTCTATACATTCAGGGCTGTCACTCTTAAGCTATATTTTGCTTATGGGATCTCCAGAGATATTTCTTTTCTAGAATGTTTGCAAGACATCCATTCTAGGAACTCAGAAATGATTGAAGAAGAACAGCTCCTTTAATATCTATTGGGTGGTACCCTGAGCAATACAATAGTGCTGGCAAGTGCTTTTCTGCTTTACCTATGCTTCATTTGCCCCAGTTTCTCTGGTGTATGAATAAAGCCTCTAGAGTATGCAGTAATACAAGCTGTGGAAACTAGAGGTAAATGTTCTGCTTAGTATGTTTGTGGGGTTTTATTATAGTTTAATTTTTTTTTAATAGGTTCAGGTCCAGTTTTCACTTTGGTTTCCAAAGGACTTAGGGGTGGGAAAATCTGACCAATCATCTTGTTATTTATAACTTTTTGAACAGATTTTTTGTCTGAATCTTTCCCTTTTGTATCCCAATGTGAAAGGCCAGGCTTAATTTTTGTACAGTTTGAATAGAATCCATTCAGTAATTTCTGATTTACACAATAATTGCCTTAGGGAAATATTTTTTTCCATTTTGAAGAAGAGCATACACTTTTTTGCATAGATGCTTAAAATACGTCAGTTTAAACATGTGATATTTTATATGTAACTTGTCTCCCTGGATAATCATGCCAAATAAATCATGTAACTTTTTCAGCATTATAAGCAATTAAATTAATGTTCTGTTCATGCAGTGAAGATTTAAATTTTAAGTTCTACAAACACCCTCCCCTGTGTGGCGGTGCTGATAGCTGAGTCAAGCCATTGCTATGCATTTTCTTGCTGGTTTAGCATCATAGCTACCAGGTTGCAGTTATGCAACCACATAATGCCAAAGGAGTCTTTGCAGCTGTCTGAGTCTCTTCCTGAGATCCCTGGTTAGGCTTAGCTGGAAGAACGCGAACAGTGTTTTGAAGGGCATGGAGCCTAATGAGATTCAGCCACTAAGCATATTGAGATTCTTCAATCCATAAGAACTTTTGTAAAAAGTTTCCCTGTAGCTAAGCAGAGACTTCTGTCCTGGCCCTGCTTCAAGTTGTTTTAACTGCATTTCTGCTTAAAATGGGTAGTTGAGAATTGTTCTTGCTATGGGGGGCAGTGTTTGAGGAGTTGTCCTTCCTCTAAACTCAGACATGTCTAAAGAGCACATTAAAAACCCTTAATGACAGAACTGAAGTCTGGGACAAAAACTCCCTCAGTCCAAGAGGTGAAATCCTCAAGATGTTATAAATCTTTGAAAATGGGGAGTTTGAATGGAGATGATTTTTCATCCATAACAACAGCAGATGTGATGAACACAGTGTGTGTAATTTAATGTTCTTAATTTCTAGGCTTCAGTATTGCATTAAGAAGGTTTCTTCATTTTATATATAATGCTCCCTTTGTTTCTGTCCTCCTTGTTTTTATTAAGAGGTATCCTTGTATGAAAGCAGAATTTATGGGTCTTAATAAATGCATTTGCTCTGCTACATCCTCATCTGGATTCCCTGGGATGTTATATTCCCAAGCTATGGGGGTGGTTTGGTCAGATGCATGAGGTTGAACAGATCCTGTTTTCCTGTAAACGTCCCTGATGATAAAACCTAGCACATGAACAAAACGCAAAGAGCATGTGGTGCAGCTCAGCAGAATTTTCGCCATACAGAAAGGTTTTCAGGCTTCTGTGTGTGGGGAGCCAGCAGGTCTGTTATCAAAACCAAAGCTCGCAGGGCAGTACAAGTAGACAGAATGTTCTGATTTATGAGCTGGAATTGCAAGGACATGCCTGGAAAATTCCATGGGAATTTTTAGGTGCAACTAAAAATTGAGTTGGTCTAATAAAAGATATCAGATTTACCCAAAGAACCTTGTCTGTGTAGGTGCAACTAATGCATTTCTGTCCCCAGTCTGGTCCCAGGCCTGAATTCCCCTCTACTATGGGTTTAGATGCTTATCCCAAAGATTCCTTTCTGTGTCATTACTCCACTCCAGGTCTTACTTTCCCAGTCCAGGTGTTCTTGCTATATCAGAGCAATGAACATAGCAGCTAACAGCTGAGGAAAGCATTGCCCATAAACTTAACATAGCCTCTTTCCTTTTGCCTCTGTTGAGAGATGCTCAGGAAGAATGAGGCTGTCAAGCTGTGGATGTATGGTGCTCTGAAGCTGCAGGATGCTGCTCACACTCACAGGAATCATTTGATGTCCTTTCTCTTATGGCCAGAGTTCACTTCTAGGTTCC